CCACCTGCACCCTGTGTTGCACCATCAGGTTGTGAAGTATGCAAATGGCCATGAAATCTTTGCGAAGGGTTTTCATATTCGCAATCTGTGTCCTGATGAAGTTCCTCCACACCGCCTTCAATCTTCCGAAAGTGCGTTCGATGCATGACCGTGCGGAGGTGTGACAATCATCATACACCTGTTCAACCGCATTCCTGTTGTTCCCCCAACTGGAGTCATAATCCACGGCAACTGCGGGTAGCCAGCGTAGCCGAGCAAGTACCTGCCAATCGTACGGCCACCACGCACCTCCCCGCCCGTGCCGAATACCCCACCACCACGCTGCGCCTCGTGATGCAAAGGAGACACTCGCAGCACACTTCTATCGTGGACAGACCCCGGCAACCCACTAAAACACTCTGAATTCGGCACTCGTGGTCGCACACCACCTGCGCCACAACAGAGAATTGGTCGGTGCGATCATAGAAACACTCCCCCCTCTGACCTGCAGGCTTATCGATGTACACATGGGTGCAGTCTATGGCTCCCACATAACCCGGGAAACCTTTGCGTTCGAAAGCGTCCAACATCTCTTGCAGCTTCTGCCCTGTTGGGAACTGGAGCAGATGCCCATACTCCCTGATCAGTGCATCGGCAACATCGACGTTGCTGCGCAGTGCGCTTGCCAAACCAAGACCCAAACCATGGGCCGACTGCCTGTAGTAACCTCCCGTCGCCCACTTGATGAGAGCGCATGCAAACTTCTGCGCGGCCGGGACTGGCTGTCTCCAGTTCGTCGTCTGGCGCTGGATATGTGGCGCTATGCGAGCCAAAATTTCATTGAACAGCGGTCGGGGAAGTCTGCAAAACTGCTGGAAGACCTTCTCATGCCTGCCTCCCTCTCTTTGGAGGTCCTTCCACACACCCCCACTGCGTTCCAACACCCACACGCGTCTTCGACCATCCACACGACGGATGAAAACGCTGCCCAGTACGTCCGCCAGTGACATGCTGTGCATCACCGCACCCGTGAGATGCAACAGGGTGGAAGACAACCCCGATAGACAAGTCGGCATCGCAGCCGCTGCCTGCAGGACAGCCATCGTTGCGAAGTTCCTTCTGTTCATGCACTGCAGAAGGACGAAAACCATGAGGAACATGGTATCGTCCCAATCATCCATCGGGTCTGACGTCGCGGCACGCTACGTGCAACGACCCTTGCACAAGCCACGCGCGTGGACGTTCGAACACGTGCAATCAACTGCGGCAATGGGGACGGGACGAAAGAGCGATGGACAAGGCGGACAACACCGGTAATGGCGGCGATAGCTTTCACTCACGTGGAATCGCAGCGGCTCAAGGACATAACGTCCACCTATAGAATGCGGAGGCCTGCGCCAACAGTCGCATTCACGGTACGGACTGTGGAACCGTCCAGCGCGACGGGGACCTGGGTCCCCTTCGGCCCCCTCAACGCCGGGAGGTCGCACTGCCTCTCCCACATGCCGCCCTGCGTCACCCACTTCAGGCGGCACGGTCATTCCTTCAGTCCACCCATGCCTATCGGACATTCGGCCACTTTTCTTTTCGGGATGCTGAACGGCCGCATTTCCTATAATGGAATAGAACTTGCGCACTTTGCCGCAAAACACAGTCCGCGATGGGGTCCCGGCAAAAGAATTTCCAGCCTTTCCAAAATCGTTCGGCCGCTTTTTGTGGCCAAACGTCTTTTCCATTGTTTTTCCTGTGGGGTCCAACTCTTAGCCTTTTTGCTGCGTGCAAGTGGGTCTTTGCGACTTACGGGATGGGGGCAGCCATCGCTCAACCTGTCACCCACGTGGCTCGCCTTGTGCGTAAGAGGTGATGGACAGGTGGAGCCTTCCTACCGTACTTCATCTTTTTTCGTTTTCACTTGTAGGCCTTGCAATTGCGCTCCGATCCACGGTGTGACAATATATTGTCACAAACTTATCAGAGCGCAAGAGCGAAAAAAAAAACAGAGAAAACAAGAAAAAAATGAATTCGTTTTTTTTTTCTTCTTCCTTACAACTCCCCCTGTTCAGAACCTCTTGCGCACATGGCCGCCCAAGATGTAGGTTGAGCGGCGACTGGTATATCCTACCCATTAATCGTGGTGGGCCCGCGGGGAGAGGTCATGTTCCGCTGCGCGCTGAAATTGGCCCGAAGTTTTGATTCGGGCCGGCGGATGAAGGCGATCGAGGGAGGGGCGTTGTGCAGAGTTGCGCGCGTACCGAATTGTTCACAACGCGCCACTAAACGAGAGAGCGCGCCTACGGGGCCGGGTAAACGGAGGGCGTCGATGTGCATGAATATCTGAACGCGCCCGCCGTCGGATTGCAAGAAAGTGTCGTTTCGTGCCCCGACCCCTTTTTTCTTTTCTTTTTTTTTATTTTTGATTTTGTATATTCTTGAATTCATTTTTCTTTTTCTTCCTTGAATTCGTTTTTTTTTTTCTTTCTTTAATTCGTTCTCGTTATTCAATATCTGAACGCGCCTGCCGTTGGATTGCGAGAAAGTGTCGTTTCGTACCCCGGCCCCTTTTTTATTTTCTTTGTCTCCTGGTCGGCGTGTCGTTTTGGTGGCAAGTGCCGGCGCTGACAAAAGGAAGCGGGGTGGTGGGTGCGTCGCAGGCAGTGACTCACTTCCACCCTCAGACCCCCACCCACATGCACGCACACACACACACATTAGTATTTTGAAGTTCGCTATCAATAGTCGTTGTTGGGGTTCGAACCCACACACAGATTCGAAATATGCAACTGCCCTAACCACACAGGTGGATTGGGCCCCTGTGTGGTTTTGGGGACTGCTTCTTTTTGAAGTGTATCCGACCTCAGGCAGCTGACAGGTGTGTCTGAACCGTAGCTGGCCTGTACGGAGGGGCGGCGACCGTTCGTCACCGGCGGGTCCAATCCCGCCATTTGCAAGCGACAACTTTGCCGATTTTTTGTGCTCAGAAGAATTCATCAACATGTCTGCAAATTTGAGAGTCCGTAG